GGATCTTCCGTTGAATGGGGAGCATAATAATAATAGTATAGTAAACTCGAAAAGTACACATTGGCCTGATTCCCCACGAAAAGAATTTGTCATTAGCTTTTGTCCATCCATAAGCGCAGCTCCGACGCCAAGAATTCCCCGAGTTGCAGCCTCGCAATAGTGCTTTTGTCCCCGAGTTGCAGCCTCGCAATAGTGCATGGTTCGTGAGCGAATAATTTCAGAGATGTGGAGGCGCACGACTTGGTTACCACCTCTATTTTCTTCCTCCAAACGCTCACTCGTCAACCAGGTATTCTCCCACTCATCTGATCTGATTTTCCGCTTTCAAATTCGCTGCTCAAATATGAGAATTCATTAGAATAATGCATCTGAGGTTATGGTGATAGCATTTCTTTTTTACATCTAGATACAGGGAGCTTACGGACTGAGGATTTGGAGAACGACGAGTTCTGAGATTCAGAAACCGGTATAGATTCCAATTCTCCGTTTGCTTTGTATTTTAAAATATTTAAGGATGACTGCTGCTTTTGACTGATTTTCTGATATTGCGGTTTGTCTGTTGCCGTTGCTGATGCTCTAGTCAAATGCTTTGTTAGAATAGGTTGCGTATTGGCTGAATCCTTCGCATCTACAAGAAGTTGTAGCATGATTTATTCGTTTTGGCAATTTTCTTTTAGTGATTAGCAGAGCTATTCTACTGCCTTTGGAATGCGACAGCTGTTTTTTTGTAACTAATAGTATCTTAAAATCAGGAAATGTTTTACATTTGGGAGTTATTATGATTCGCTAAATGAAATAATGACAAGATCGAATGGTGAAGAAAGCGCGAATTGCTGTAGAGGTCATATGTCAGTTTATCCTCCAATTACGGGAGTACTGTTGGCTCAAGTACTCTAGTTAGTAAATTGTTTTTTACTTGCAAGAATCTTGTTCATTCAAGGTGCAAAACCTTGTTCACATTATCCCAATGTTGGGGACTACTAAGATCAGCAGATAGAACTTTTTAGTTTTTTTTCATTATTTGGTGAAACTTTCATAATGTCATGTTGTTTTCTTGTGTGGTTGTAGGAAGAAGATGGAACCTTCCCAAGAGGAATAACCCCGTTTATAACTTTTGTCCTCGGTAATCATCTCCGTCATTTTGGGTGACTGAATTATTACTTCGTTGTTCTGCCATGTGACTTATTGCAACATCTTTACTGTTCATGTTTGTTGCCAAAGCATAAATTTTTTTTTTTTTTGCTTTCTAGATGTAAATATTTTATTTCGATCATAAACACATATATTGTCAGTTACGGATTCAGTGAGTTGTGGTCAGAACATGCTGTTTGAAATTGCCTGATAAGCATTAAATACCAGATGGAGATCAACATTGGCTTGAAATTTCATGTTAACAGGAGGCCCAGGTAGTGGAAAAGGAACTCAATGTGCAAGAATTGTTGAAAACTTTGGGTTCACCCACCTGAGTGCAGGAGATCTGTTGAGGCAAGAAATTTCTTCTAATAGTGAAAATGGGTAAATGCAGCAATTTCCATCAACATTATTTTCAAATAAGCACACCATACAAATGTGAAGGTACTTCTGATGATGCGGTCTTGTTTCAGTGCTATGATTTTGAACACCATCAAGGATGGAAAGATTGTTCCTTCTGAAGTAACTGTCAAGCTAATACAAAAGGCAATTGAATCAAGTGAGAGTCATAAATTTCTCATTGATGGTTTCCCACGAACTGAAGAGAACCGTTTGACATACGAAAGAATTGTGAGTGTATCTTCTTTATATGTGACAGTGATTTATAAAGCTATATTTCCCACTATTCAAATTCCATTAATTGGACTAGTAATGCTCTAGCTGGCTCTTTCCTGACCATGGAGATGACTATTTAAGCTTCCTGTTGGTTTATTTGGACATACATCCATTGGAGAAAAATTGTTGGAATGGGGAATATTCGTAGGGATTGGTCTTTCATTCAACTAAAGAGTGAACCACAAATGCAGATTGGTGCCGAACCCAATATTGTGCTTTTCTTTGATTGCCCCCCGGAAGAGATGGTTAAACGAGTGCTGAACCGTAGGCAGGTGCATTTTTCATTTTTCTATTTCTTTTGGATTTTTTCTTTTCTTTTCTTTTTTCTTCCAGGTGAATGCTACTGTTTACACTTTCCTTCCTTATTTAAAGATAATTAACAAAACTATCATCTTTTAATCTAGGGGCGAGTTGATGATAATGCAAACACGGTCAAGGAACGGTTAAAGATTTTTAGAGCTTTAAGTCTTCCAGTGGTCAACTATTATGCCAAGAAAGGAAAACTTTACAAGGTACTGCCACTGGAGGGAGTATATTTGATTGCAAGTAGGGCTGCTTTTTGGATCTGGCTTACAGTGCAACTTGAAATGTGACATGTTTTTCAGTAGTTAATAGGTTAATACTCTGTTATGCCTTCTTTTCTGTGATAGGTCCTGGATGATACTTTGTTTTACTGGCACAAAGTGGTCCTGCACCAAAATCTTTTAATGTATCTGATCTTTTGTTGGTCTGAGTTTTATATGTTGATTATGCATTTAATACACTATGCATGTTATTTAATTATTTGAAGTATTGCTTCCTATCGAATGGTACTTGAGTTGTGCCATGCACCTCAAGAAGCCGAACAAGAAAGAAAAGCTTTGGATGACATTTCCCTTTCGATTGTCAAACTACTTAATGCTGCTTATGTTTTTAAATCTTATTTTTCTTCTGTTTTATGTTATACTGAAAGAAAAGATTTTGGATGAATAAGATGGAGATATAAGATGTTTACAGACACTCTAGTAGTGACCTTGAGTAGCCCGAGAAAACGGATCCCATGTTTGGGTTGGTCTGGTCTGGTCCGGTCCTAGGCAGAACTTCTCTATACTGCTTTGCATTTGGTTGTCTTCCAAAACTTCTGCAAAAAAAACTCTGTCCATGTTGGCAGCTATGCCTGTTCAATCCTCCCTGGTTGATCTCTTAGTTGCTGGATGCTGCTTTTTAATTCCTGGAGTTTAGGTATTCTGTAATTGTAGCAATGTTGTAAAACACTTATTTTGTAGGCTTCATCTTGTTCTGATTATGTCTCTTTTTGTAGATTCCATTTTGCGTAGTGAAAGTAATAAGATGTTGTGTCATTGATACTCTACTGATTTGCAGATTGATGGTACTGGAACAGAAGATGAGATATTTGAACGAGTCCGCCCAATTTTTGCTGCCTAACGGTATGTTTTAAATGTTTTACTGTGTGATTTGAGCATTCATATTCCTAAGTGAGTCACTAATATTTAAAACTTGGGGAATATGATATATTCTGCCAAATATTATACCTTTCAATATTGTGAGAATTCCTATGCTTGTGTTCTGCTACGTACTCATGCGTGTGGCTCGTTGTATTGTTCTTCCCATGATTTTATCATGTAATGGCCTGGTGAGATAAATATGTTTCACATGGGTGAGAGAGAGAGAGAGAGAGATGTTTGACTTGGCCCAGAGAGGGGGGGAGGGGGATGGAGAGATTACCAGCTTGTTGTTTAACAGAAGATGCTAGCCATTTGCTGGGATTTTATATGACCACCAGTTTTGATAAATCATGTGAATATTTAACTCTGCTGAAATGCAGATGGAGTGCAATATAGAAACTTAAGTACGCCTTGCAAATATCCAGCACAACTTGCCTTGTTTTAAAAATGATCACTTTGCAATCCAGTTGAATTTTGAGGGAAGATGATGCCCTCCAATGTTCCCCAATCATTAGTCCCTTGAAAAAAATTAAAGAAAACAAGCAAATAAGAAGGAAGAGCTTCTAAAATTGTAGTTTATGACTTACAAGTGCCGTCTGATTGTTTTACTTACTTTCTATTAGGTTTTCAACAAAATCTAAGGAAACACATTTACAGGTCATTACGGTAATAAACCTTTTCTGACGAAACACCAGAGGAACAAAAGTCGATCGAGCTGGACAGATAAGCCTGGCAGGAAGATATCACTCAGTTGATACTTACTACTCTGTTAAGGGGCCTGCAGACTGGTAAAAAATTGTTTTCCCCAAGCTGGGAATCCGGATAAGATACTTGCTGACCTCCTAATGCCTGTTAAAAACAAAATTCCTTATTATTCTTTTGCCCATCTTCGATCTCGCTTGATCACGAGGCGTCCCAGTGAATGTAGAGAGAGAGAGAGAGGTAACGCTATATCAGATCAATCACCTTCTCTGAAGACTGTATCTGAGTGCTGGGATTTCGGTTGTGCTATGCAAAATCTGGCAGATTGTGTCAAGGGTGGTATATTGTAGTTTTCTGAAGGAGGATGCTTTGTGATTGGTGAGTATCTTCATGAATAAATGGTCAAAAAGATTATTAAATTATTCAAAATGGCATGACTTGATAACTTTTTTTTTTTTTTTGTTTTGGGGGAAAAAGATCACTCAACTCCCTAAAATGAGCATTTGAGATCATTTTAACCAACCAATAGGAAAAAAGCAAATTTGACCCACCATTGCAGGTTTTCAAGGATAACAATGCCGTATTCTGATTGACATAATTTTTATTTAAAGAAAAATCAGGTTTCAGGGGTATATCTGTATTTTGACCAAATTTCATAGGAGAGACATGTAATTAACCAAAAAAAAAAAAAAAAGGGGGCACCATCAACAACGTCTTCCTCCTCCACCACTATTGCACAACCCAACCAATGCCCTGTTCCCTCCCCTACTTTCCCGCGCTTCCCCTCCCCTAAAATCACAGCTTAATAGTTAATTAGTTAAATTTCATAGAAGTAATTGGGATCACCTGGGCAACGCAAGCAAAGGTTTTTGCTGACAGGATTAGTATTTCAGTGAAACTCGTATTCAACCATACAAAGCAAAGGTACGCGTTGTTTATTGATTGCTCACAGGTGAGGCGGGCTGCAAATTTAGCCATGCTTGGACAACAATTGATACATTTTTCAATCACCTTTTTATTTCATATATATCAAATCGTTATAGTAATTTTTTTACAAAAAAAAATCTAGAAAAATACAATCCAAATACAAGTCTGTCAAGCCTTCTTGTTTGCCTAAATCCAGAACGTTAAGTATTGAAAAAAATACACCACATTAAGGATTTATGTACTTGTAAATCCGTCTTGCTGCACAAAGTCATTAACCAATGACTGAACGTTCGTGTAACACAACCGTACAATTGAACCAATAAGTCGCCGGTTCCACATATGTTACTAAGAAACAAATGAATTCAACCCGTACTACTACAAATTGATGCCACTATTGCTTACAATTAGTCACTAGAACTTCGGGACATCACTTGGAGAGAACCCCCCACCAGTCCTACTTGATTATGCGATCGAACAGTTGACACCTTTATTTCCATCAGGATGTAGCAGCAGTCTTCTTTGATTTCCTGCTCCCGTGAACATTGGTGTACAAGGCATTTATACGGAAAGGAGGGAGGGAGGGGGGAAGATAAAGGGGCTGTGGTTAGGAAGGAGGAGGAGAGCACGACACGTTACGTTGATCAAATAAAATATTGTTGGAAAAGAAAGATGGACAGAGAAAAGTGACGTGCAATATTTTGCTTCCGTGCAATTGGTGCCACAGTGCCTGCCGCTAAGAGCCGGTGGTTCCCCGGAATTGAATCATTTAGCAGACGACTTCCGTTAAAATGAAAACTTCGTGCCGAAAAGATACTGCTCTGTTAAGCAGAAAAACGCATACCACTCATTATTACGTGGTCAGCTCTCTGGAGCAATTTCTAGCGATTACTCTCCGAATTTGGACTCGTCTTAGTTCTCGTTATGCTGGAAATCGGCATAATCCTCCTCCAACAACCGTCTCTTTACAAACTCTCTGCATGTCGCCCGCTCTCTTCCTCGTCAAATGAGAAAACCAGTAAGAAACAGAAGCTAAGACAAAATTATCATCCTCGAGCAAGAACCAAACTCCGATTCCCAGCACCAAATCCCACTCCACTCTTAGCCAAGAACTACCCCCGTACGAAACTCCAAGCCCTCGAGTTTGTCATTAACGAAATAGAATCCTCAATAGAAAAGGGCATTGAAGTTAATGATACCCATATCTTCGCTTCGCTTTTGGAAACTTGCTTTGACTTACATGCCTTTGATCATGCTCTTCGAATCCGCCGACTTATACCTGATAAACTTCTGCGCAAAAATGCGGGCATTTCGTCAAAGCTCATCAGATTATGTGCTCTCAACGGGCAGTTGGACGAAGCTCACCACCTGTTCGATCAAATGCCTAAGCGTCATGAATCGGCTTTTCCATGGAATTCACTGATAGCCGGCTATGCTGAAAAGGGTTTGCACGAAGATGCATTGGCATTGTACTTTCAGATGGTTGAAGAGGGCTTGGAGCCTGATCGGCACACGTTTCCTCGCGTGCTGAAAGCTTGCGGAGGCATTGGGTTGATCCAAGTTGGCGAGGAAGTTCATCGCCATGTAATCCGTTATGGGTTTGGGAATGATGGCTTTGCCCTTAATGCACTAGTCGATATGTATGCTAAATGTGGCGACATTGTTAAGGCTCGAAAAGTCTTCGACAGAATCGTGGATAAGGACTTGGTTTCCTGGAATTCAATGCTAAGTGGATACGCTCGACATGAGCTTATAACGGAGGCACTTGATATATTTGTGTCGATGGTGCGCGAGGGGCTTGAACCCGACTCGGTTACTTTGTCATCACTTATTTCAAGCGTGTCGTCCTCGAGACTCGGAACTCAAATTCACGGATGGGTTCTTCGTCATGGAATCGAATGGGATTTGTCTACAGCCAACTCTTTGATTGCTTTTTACTCCAATTGCAATAAGCTGGAGGAAGCGCGGTGGTTGTTTGAACACATGCCTGAGAAGGATTTAATTTCTTGGAACTCGATAATTTTTGCTCATAGTAGAAATGCCGAAGCTTTATTTTACTTTGAGCAAATGGTAGAAGCTAATGCCTCACCAGACGCTATCACATTTGTGTCTTTGTTGTCCGCTTGTGCTCGTATGGGTTTGGTAGAAGACGGACAGAGGCTTTTTAGGATGATGAGGAGTGACTACGGAGTCGGGCCAATTATGGAGCACTATGCATGCATGGTTAATCTTTATGGAAGGGCGGGACTGATCGATGAAGCTTATGACTTTATCGTGAATAGAATGGATACTGAGGCCGGTCCAACTGTTTGGGGAGCATTACTCTATGGTTGCTACCTTCACGGAAGCGTCGACTTGGCTGAGATTGCTGCGACAGCATTGTTTGAGTTGGAGCCAGATAATGAGCATAATTTTGAGCTTTTGATGAGGATTTATGTGAGTGCAGGGCGCTTTGATGATGTTAAAAAAGTTAAAGCAATGATGTTAGAAAGAGGATTGAATTTGTAGAGCAGCTGAATATGTTCTTCTGAAATTTTTAGGAACACCACAGGTTAGTGGGAGGTTCAACTCCTTTCAAGCAAGTATATCTCTTTGCTCATTATAGTTGGATCATCGAATGCATTTCTTCTCAAGTCAGCAGCAGGAGCAAATCTTGTATGGCTCTCAAAACACATACAACAATAATATCGTGCTAGCATAGTCTCCTAGAGGACGCATGATCAAAAGATGGCTTTCCAAGCACGTGGGAACTGGTGTGGATGGGGAAAAAAAAGACGGGCATCATCTTTCAAAATTCAGCAGCTAAAGGAATGCATTAGTGGGCCCTAGGTTTCGTGATTGTTGAAGCCTTGGTCGTCCGCGGCGGCGTCTTTTGGGTCTGTTTGGATTGTAAGTTATTTGGGATTATTTGGGATTTTTTACTGTAGCACTTTTTGTGATGTGATGTATGTGAGATAAAAAGATATTGGGAAGATAAAAAGGTGTATTGGAAATTGTAAAGATGATGTAAGCAAATAAAATTGGAAAAATATGAAGCAATCCAAATAAACCCAAATATTTTTTTAAGAGTGCCCTGCCAACCAATACGCCGACAGACGGATTGCTTAGGAGCAAGAAGGATGCGTGCCTTCGACATTCAATCACGAAGCTCTGTAATGCAGACACTCTATCGGTAAAGACTAACACAAATGAAATGAATGCGAATATCAAGACAAAATAATTTGCAAAAGCAAATTAAATTACATTAATTAACTTTGTCACTCAATTCATACTATTTGTTTTTGACAGTCAATCTTTATTCCATCAAAATTCAAACTAAATCAATACAAGCGGTCAATTGCACGGGGCAGAGCTTCGAGCAGCCACCCAGACATTTGGATCTGGAGAGAAATTAGAGACTAGAGGTGCAAGCAGGTACACGTATACTGCTGACCTCCATCTGTTAAATTTAGGATATTTAAGGGACTAAACTCTCTCACTCATATGCATGACTCACCCACCTAAATTAAATTTAAAATCCGCAATGCTTAGGCCCCGTTTTTTGATTGTATTTTTCGTCATTTTTCATGAAAAAATTACTGTAGCGATTTGATGTATGTGAGAAAAAAAGATAATAGGAAAATGTGATCACGGAAAACGACGTAATTTTTCGACGAAAAGTGACAATCCAAACAAGGCCTTAGAAAGGCATTTGTCAAGGAATGAATAAATAAATAATACTCCCAACTGGCTGAGACCCTACCTACAATTAAACTACTACTGGTTCTCCAATTGCCTGCAATTATTATTCCCCAAAAAAATATCAGAGGGTCGTTGCCTTCCCCTTGAGGTCTGGCAAAGCCTATAACACACCCTTGTCGGCCCATAAAATCTTTCATTGTCATTTTATTAAGTAGTTAATCATCGCATCCGCGACTGAACTACACCTAAACCTAAACAAAAATATCTCCCGATGGATGATGTATTGTGCCCCCCACCCCTCGGAGTTGGCTCGACTGGTGCCCCTCGGAGTTGGTTCGATCGGTGCTGGGGTTTGACTCCTTTTATCATCTTGTGTATCTTTGGAGGGTAGGATACACAAGCACAGGAAAATTAGTCTGATTGAAGGTTGGGGCACGATATATCATTATCGTATTGTAGGATACTGGTGACCGTATTCCAGTATCTTTGTAGTATGTAGTAGCGGTATGTATTACTTACCTCAGTGCTCGTATCGTATATCGTATCAGATTAATTAAAGCTCAATTTTCTTAAGACGGGGTTATTTTCTCCATCACCGTAGATGCGAATCGGAGCGGGAATGGGAATGGGAATGGGGCCTGGGAAAGCGTGAAATACAGCCGACAACGTCTCTTGACGCCTGTCCCCACGCCCATGCTGATGCGGGCTCTCGTTGGATTCTCCGGCCTCTAATTCCTGATTCAAAATTTCAACCAATACCAGTTAGAAACCGACAAAACATGCAAAGAAAATGAATGTTACACGCATTTCCTATGTCCGGAGGATTTTTTTTTCCCATCGGGAGAGCCTTCCAAAAAAAAAAAAAAAAAGAATTTTCTCGTACTATAAAATTAATTTGTATGGCGCTCGAAAGGTCGATGATGATGGCCTCCAACTCCAAGTAGGGCAGAATAACAAAGAGGAGAGAGAGAGAGGGAGAGAGATGACATTCTAGCTAGGGCAATAATCTTATCCTTATTGTTTGCTAGCACCAAAAAATAAAAAAGCACAAATTGAAAGTATATTTCAACACATATAAAAAAAATTTTGGAAGAAGAAGAGTTTAATAATCACAAATACATAAAAAGCACATCTAAAAACTCTTACCTTCAGCAGGTAAATTACTAAAACTTGACTATACTTGAAAATTATTAAATGAGAAATAGAAAAAAACATTAATTATTAGGAAGGTTGGTTCCTTTAATCATGCCAACACCTATTAATTCCAAAGCTAGTAGAGGCTTTGAGTTGAAATCAATCAAGAAAGAGTAACCAAAAACCTTGACTCCTCCAGATCTGGTTTTGAAAACGTTACTCTCGGACGGGACGGGTGCTTTTCGAAGACTTGGAGTTGATGCCTGTGTTTATCCAACTGCTTTATTTTATTTTGCCGCTTTACAAAAGCAAAAGTAAAAAGTAAGCCGCATTGTCCCACCAAAGTATGTAAAATTGGAAGTAGTTTTTCTCGATTATGGTGCTCTATAGTACCGCAATAATTGTGCTGCTTTGGAAGGGAGTTTCTTGATTATGGTGAACTATAGCAGTTCCATAAGTAAGGAGGGTGTGAATCGAAATCGGTAATTTAAAATTTTAAAATCGAAATTTTTTAAAATTTTGATATCAAAATTTTCGATCAATTTCGATTTTGAATTTATTAATTTCGAATTCAGTTCGGAATTAGGTAAATTTCGATTTTACCAAATTCATGAATATAAAAATTATTATTATAATATAAATATTATATTACATATATATATAATTATATATATGTGTGAAAACGAAATTAAAATCGAAATAGAAATTTCAATTTCGTCGAATTCATGAATATAAAAATTATTATTATAATATAAATGTTATATTATATATATATATATGAAAAACAGATTTGAAATCGAAATAGGAATTCCGAATTTCAATTTCGAATTGTGAATTTGAAATCAGAATTTTCGATTTGAAAAATCTCATTACCGAATTCGACCAATTTGAAATCGGATATTCTGATTTCCATTCCAAATTACCAAATTACTGAATTCGAAATTCCTAATTCAATTCGAATTCGATCGATAAATCGAAATTTTTGAATTTTGCACACCCCTAACCACAAGACGTAGTAACAAAAATGGTTTCACATTATTATCTACACAGAACAAAGACCACAAACATTGCATCCACAGAACACCACAAACATTACATTCACAAATCACATGTCTGGTCTGGCATAGCATCTCAAATGCATCATCCATATGCACCCGCCCTACCCACCGGTTACCAACGTCGGTGTTCGAGGATGGGTAAACCCTTCATGTAGAAAGGCTCATTTTTCATGTCTGAAAACCATACTGATAACATATATTCTCAATTTTGCTAGCTTAATTATAAAAGTTGACTGGAAATCATGACATGTTTTTACGATTGACTAAAGCATGAAAATTATTAAAAATAAAGAGGTTCTTTTACGTTCGTATGTTAAGTATCATTTTCGCATGTTGAGTATCATTAGGAATCCATTCTACAATTTGTTTCATTACCAAAGCCACGAAAGTGACGACATGACCAAAATTTTTCTCTCTCTGTGATTTTTTTTTTGGGTGCTTGTCAAATGGAGACAAACAAAGCGAGTGTGGGGACTGCAAAATACTAGGAGTATTAGGGTACGCTGGCGTGGGGCAGCACTGAGCTGCGCCATAAATCAAAACTGTAGGAAGCAAACAAGAGTGAGCTGGCTGGTTGGTTGGTTTGAGTCAATGTCGGTAGCGAAACGTCAAAGCACAAATACATTAAAACTTTCGAATAGCAGTACATTCCCACCGCAATATCGCGGGTCCACATATCTCATCTCCTGCCACTCTGCCGATTTTCCTTAATTTTGTGCTTGATTGGCGGAGTACCTTTTTCCGCCACAGAGACAGTACTATTAAAACAACCGAGCTTGGCTCATGGCCGCCTGGGGGGACGTAAATCCCTTCCTAAGAAGACGATAGACGAGGGTTCAAATTTTATTTGTAGTAAATAAAATTTAAAGATCATGTCATAGTATTTTGTTGATTTAGTTGAATTTATATATTTACTAACTCTTAATACATAAGCCTTTTTAGGCTCTCGCTTTCTCCTAAATTAGGATAGAATAGATTGTATAATGTGTCGTTGTTGACAAAAAAAAAAAAAAAATAGTACTATTACCCTTTTGTTCATTTTGAAAATATTATGCTTTTTTTTGAAATGTTTTAACATATTTATTTGAATAAAAAAATCAAAATATCTTTTAATTTTTTTAATATAATCATTCTTTCTAATTATGTGCGTATTGTCATTAAAATTAAAATTTTAAATTTATGAAAATAAAATTTAAAAAAAAAAGAAGTATAAACATCACAATTAAATCACTAATTTTAAAAAGTTAAATTTTCAAAATATAACTAGATAACTGGGATGGAGACAATATTAATATGTGTGTTTGGATTGAAATGATTTGAAAAAAAAATAATTTACCTTACAAGTCTTATCATATATATCACATCACAAAAAAGTATTTTAGTAGTTATTTCAAATAAATCATTCAAATAAATTCCTATCCAAACAAAATAATTAATATTTTATGATTTATGATGCCTAATTGCAAATACGCCAAACCCAATATGAAACCAAACACCCGGCGCACGTTAGATGACGGAAACACGACGAGTTCACATACCCAGGGCCAGGGCCCCAATTTACACGTGACATACCATTCGAGTCTTTTAAACTCTTCCCAGACTTTTCATTTTCCTATTATATATAGAGACATAGATTGCCTTCAATGATGCTGTGAATAGAACCTATTCTCCTTCAGTCTTCATCCACCCTACGGTCCCTACCCTCTCTTCTCATCACATACATATCCATCCGCTCTCTAAGGGCGAAAGAGAAAAAAGGGAGATGGCTTACCCAATACTGCCTTTACTAATTTTGAGTCTGTCCCTCTCGTGGATTCCGGCCAAGTCAGATGCCGCGGCCGCAGCCACCAGTTTCATCCGGGCCAAATGCAGAACCACTACCTACCCATCTCTGTGTGTCGAATCCCTTTCGACTTTCGCCGCGACCATTCAGAGGAGCCCGAACCAGTTGGCCCAAACGGCTCTGTCCGTGAGCCTGGACAGGGCTCAGTCCACTAGAGCATTCGTGGCTAAGCTCTCCAAATTCAGAGGGCTGAAGGGTAGAGAGTATGCAGCTCTGAGGGACTGCTTAGAACAGATGGCCGACAGCGTGGACCGGCTCGGCAACTCCGTCCAGGAGATCAAGAACTTGGGTAGGTCCCGGGGGCCGGAGCTATTCTGGCACATCAGCAACGCACAGACTTGGGTGAGTGCTGCGCTCACTGACGACAGCACCTGTGCGGATGGGTTTGCCGGCCGGACCTTGAATGGAAGGGTTAAGTCTTCCATTAAAACAAGAATGACCAATGTTGCACAGGTGACCAGCAATGCCTTGGCATTGATCAACCAAATGGCTGGTGGAAACTACTAGAAAGCAGTAAATCACTCAGCATGCGAAGGTCTCAGGTTTAATTTGTTTCCTCTGATCTCAGCCTCAGCCAGCGCTTGTGTGTCTGTTAGCTTTACTTTTGAGTTTTCAACTTTGAATGTGTATAGTAGTAGCAGTACTAAGAAATTACTCGAGTCTTTTTTTTTTTTTTTGTCTTGTTTAATTATTATACGCAATACGACGAGCCGTTGCGTCCTTTTTTCTCGTCTTTAATATGACTGGCGACTAACTAATGCTTTTACTTTTCGTGTTTTTTTCTAAAAAAAAAATTTGGAAATCATTTTCAAAAGGGAAGTTGCTTGACTGGTCAGCATCCATTTGATTTTAATTATGAAGCCCATGCAGGACTGCAAACGAGTCGAGTCGAGTCGAGATTTGAGTTAATCGAGTCGAGTCTCGACTAATTTTTATCGAGCTCGAACTCGACGAGTCGGCAAATTTCGAGCTCGAGCTCAACTCGAATCAAGTCGAGCCGAGTTCGAAAAAAATAAAAAATAATTATTTTATTTTTTTAAAAATAAATAAAATAATATTTTTTCTTAATAAATAATAAAATATTAAAGATATATATTTAATTTTACTATAAAAATAAAAAATAAAAAAAAATATATAATATACATAATTTTATTATTAAATAAATATAAAAATAAAAAAAATATATATGTATATATATACTCAAGCTTGCGAGCTAACGAGTTTAATATTCTGAACTCGAACTTGACTCGAGCCGCTCACGAGCGATTCGATTCGTTTGCAGCCCTAGCCCCATGTTAATGAAATAGCTTAAGTCGATCCAAACATCCCTTCTAATAAGTGAGGACTACCCTAGCAATAGCATGCATCGAATATCGATCGAGTAGTTAGTAGTAAGTATCGTATCGTAAATCATCGGCGGCGACCAGCATCTCATTCCGAGGTGGAATGGAAAATTGGAAAAGAGCTGGAGGACGCAGAATTTGTTGTCATTGCGGTCTAATTTTGATCCTATGAAGATTTCCAATCTTCCGGCGGCTTGCTTTGACACTTGCGATGGGGGGTAGGGGCCTAATTCTAAGGACCCAAATATTCTTCTTTCAACCCTTGAATAATAGTAGTAATAACCCATTTACATTTCCCAACCATCCTCCTCTTATCTTATTGGATAGCTAATTATTCCAAATAACACATTTACATTTCCTAATAATTGGATAGTCAATTATTCCAAATAATGTCGCGGTAGCAGCTGCCCCAGGTGCAACTGCCCCAGATGCTGCAGAAGGGAATCTAGAGGCCTTATGCAAGAAAACCCACGATGTTGATTCCCGCATTAATTTGATTCGCTGGAATGGTACCGAAAAGTCCTGTCAAAGTCCTTGTCCAAGGCCAGGAACTTCATGACAAAAGCAGCGGGTCAGGGGGTTGGAGGCCAGAACAGCAAATTGCATCGTTCGACTGCGTGGGTAAGATGAGCGACAGCGTAGAAACTCTCCAGCAATTAAAAGTTCCGCACGAGTTTGTAGAAATGTTCAAAACTGAAAGCTGCTGAGGGATGATGGCATAAGAAAAATGTGCGGACTTTATATTGGATTTAGCCACAAATCAAGAGGAAGCTTGCTGCAAGTCGTTGGTAAGTCGTCAACACCCGGCCTTGCAACAAGTTAGGGATTTAGCAAACAACGCTTCCACGGCCAACAAGATTGTAGTCTTGGACATTTAAGCTTCCCAACTTACAAATTTGTAATTCGGCAATGGGCAAAAACCTGTCCACCAGACCAAATTCCCTAGTCTACCAGTTGGGAGCCAATGTTGGCCGCACTCTCGATGAGCTATAAGTATTGCAGATTTTGTACTAGACTAGATAATAAAACAGCAACAAAGAATTGAAAACTTTGAGTTTCCTGAGAAGTGTACACGATTGAATCACTCGTAGTTGGAAAAAAAAAATGAGGCAGAAGCTCCACTGTTATTATTTATAATACCATCATGCCTATGGAATTTCATAAATTACAATTGTCGCGTGCATGTTGACAGTGCTGTTAGTGCTACCAAAATGAAGTGCAGATTGGTGTGAAAAGTGAAAGCCATCCAGAAATTAATTCCAGACAAACAATTTACTGCGACAGACAAAAAGCAATTTAATCACTGCTGGTAAAGATGGTTGATTAGGTATAGAGCATTGCTTATAAGCCTTTGTGGAGGTACTACGAAACTTTTGATATTTGCCCTGAGGGCAGGACTAATTTTTCTCCCAGCAAATCCATCCAGGCATGACTCCAGATCCGTTATGGCAGCGCTACCCCAAGTCTTGGCATTAGCCCATTGGAACTGCCGGTCGGCACCTCCAAGACGTGTCATTGCGCCAAGAGCTTGCTTGAGCTCAGAAATCGCATCTTTCACATCATACATGCAGTCTTTGAGGGCCGCAGCTTCCATGCGCGAATAGTACCCTCTCCGAGAGGCCAGCTTTGATACCTTGGCGGATGTGTTGCCGGCGCCTTGTATGGCTACGCTGAGGGCCGTCTTACAGAGCTTTAAGGGGTTGGTTTGGACGTAAGAGGCGTAGGGATAAAGCGTTCTGATGCAAACTGCTGGATAGGTCGTGGCGCTGCATCTGGTTTTCACGAAGTTTGTGTAGGCTGATGGGGTTGTGGCAGCCGAAGTTGGTTGCACCAAGGAAATGGAGGAAACGAGTGCGAGAAAAGTGCACAAGAACTCTGTTAGGTTGTAATTCTTCTCCATTTTCCACTTCCTTTTTGACTTGCCGTTTATGTCAGTTTACACATCTGAGCAGGGATGATGAGATGAGAAATACTACTACTGCTGCTGCTACTATATATATATATATATATGGATAGCTATCAGGTGGGTGTAATGTTTAATCGAATGTGAATCCGTAGAAAGTTTCAGAGTAGCCAAGGGGCAAAAGTAGGGGTCGGGGAAAGTTGCTGAGTATGTGAATTGTGATACCAACGCCAATTTCGTCGACAAACGCTGCAGCAGGCTACAGTCACATGCAAACTTCTGTATTCTAAATTCGATTGCTTAATCTTTTATCCATTGATTGATAGATTAAATTATTGGATACGGAATATGGAAAGGAAATTGTATGTGATCTTGGCACGCAATCTCCTTCGCTGGAATTTGATCATTTCAGAGGTCTTATGGGTTTGCCTCCGATCCATTTCTCTTGACAAGCAATTTAGTTGAAGTTAAGTTTCTCTTGTGAATTTTACTCAATATTAGTAGGAATTTTGTCAATAAAGTAGAAACACTTTATAAATTTATACTATGATATAACAACAATTCACATTTGATGATACTGCTAACCCTCAATTCAAAGGATGGAATTAATTCCAACATAATTAATGTCCCTCCACAACTTAAAATAATGAGAACTAGTTCCAAAATTCCTGAATACATCACGATATTGGTTGGGCTTATGAAATGTTTTGTTTAAGCAAAGGCCCGAGAGAAAAGGACCCCCTCACGTGCCAGGGGATAAGCCCGGGTCGGTTTACAAAATAAAAAGTCTACATCTAGAAGATCGTGCAAAAGCCCAATGCCTCGCATGATTCGCTGCGGATTCCCGGTGGAACGTGGGCTGCCGCAAACGCTGCTGGACTATAGGCGATGTTGTTGGTGGCGGCAGAAGCGGTGGGTGGTGGCGGTGAGTAGTGGACGAAAGGCTGGGTTTTTTAATTTTGTTTTCGGGTGTATTTGCATTTGTATGTTTTTTGAAGTTATTTTTGAAATTTGTTATTGTAGATTGTGGGGAAAAAAAAAAAAGGAAATTCATACCGAGCCTGAGCTTGTGTTGAAATTGCAACGAAGACGAATTTTTTTTAAATACTAAAAATTTTAATTTCTTGAATATTAAAAAGAAAAAAGTCAACACAAAGCTTTTCAAAATTGCTTGTGTTTTACCCCAAAAAAAAAAAGAAAGAAGAATTTTGCTATCAATAGACTCTAATTTACACCAAATTTATCATTTTAATGCCACAATAAAGCTATGAAAAGGAAGATTCCAAAATTTCTTATTGAGCAACAGGTTCCAGGCAAGCCCTTTCTGAGCCAAGAAAGAGCAAAAGGAGGATATATATATATAATTACTTATTTGTCTGCTTTGTCCCCCAGGCCAGAATGTGGGTGAAATCTGCTGAGGTAGTTAATTTGACGAGTATAGTCAAAAGTCAATCAAACTGCTAGCTAGTAATTTGATTTACTTTTTAGGAAAGTTGATGTCAGATTAACTTTCCGTTTCTTGTGTCCTTTCCGAATTTGTTGAAGGCTGGCTGACTATTACTCTATTAGTCGAAGGACAATCAAAACAGGCAAGTTCATTTGTACCATTCCAAGGATTAGGGGAAAAAAAAAACAGGAGGAGTAGCTGTGGTCGTAATGGTTGGTGATGCGACTGTCGAAAACACGATCCAAACTGAGCTAGCGAGCGGGGTGAACGAGCCGGTGTCAGCGAGGGGAAATCCGAACTGACCTGCAACAGAATGAATTGTGGGACTAACTCCCCATTGTGACTCTGACGGTCAAGTCTGTTATAGTTATGAGTAAAGTAACAGTAATGATTACTGTAGATGGTGTACTTGACTTTGTCTCGTTGTACTATATTTATAGGACTATTGGCAGTAATTTTCTTATAGAATTATGAGCCCTACCACAGATAGACTTCTCTTTGGATTCTGTCTGCTGGTTCCGAAGGGCTTGGGAGCTTCGGCCCACTTGGCCCACCCGGCTAGGAGGCGATGGTCTTGCCCAAGCTGGCATGTCACTTGTCCGAATTGATATGTGGCGTTGGCGAATTGGCTCCTCCACAGTTCGGGTTTCTGAATTTGTTGATTTTTTCTTGAAAAAGTAGTTCCACGAGGGTGGTCAAGATCAGCCAACAACTGATCATCAATAGGACAATAGATGGCTGTTGATACGAATTAAGCCAATAATGCAGGCAAGTGAGATATTTATTTTCTTATACTTTATATGCATCTAAATCTAATTGAAATGGTTGGCGTAGGGTAGGGTCCTACGGACCATTCAACGCCAGAATTCCCATTCCCACTTTCTTCTCTCTCTCTCTCTCTTTTTTTTTATTTTAAAAAATAACAATAATATGCCTTCGAAAGGTTGAAATGTGTGATGGAGAGTTCCTCACGTAATCATAGACTTAAAGTTAAAGGCTTGTTAGGATAAGAGGTCAAGGATTCAAATAGTGCGTTCTATCATTTGTCACAATTCGTGACTGTCAGTTTAAGTAGCTTAAAGTGATTTAGTCCCCGTCGATTCTCTTATGTCCAGTTAGACCCTTCCCCTTAGTATAAGTTAGAGTAGTAATAAGGATAGACGTAAGATAGGCAAGTGTCGGATCGACAAAAAAATATGGAGTTCCCCCCGTGTTCTCACCACGTTACATTGTGCTACTTCAACACTGAGTGTACCGTAAATGACCCAATGTAGAAGCTACTTCCAAGTTGTTTTGCATCCGGTCCCTTTTGTCTCCCAATTAGAGCAGCTTCAACCAAACTAAACGGGTCTTGTTTTGGCACCTAGATATTTGCAGGTCCCCTCCTTATAATTGATTTTAGCTTCCATCGTGTTTGATTTTCTAATTATAATGACGTGCACGGCAGCCATCATTATAATTATACTGTTCGGCCCGCTAATTAATTATATTCAGACAACTCCATCTTCTTTTTTTTTTTTTTTTTTGAAGAGAAAAAGGGATGCATTATGGTTGCTCATATCATGCGTTGCATCCCCCTTCTTATTCTCCGTGTATATCCATCTTTACCAGTTCTCCATATATTTCTATTCACGGACACACCCTACGAAAACATTTTTTTAAAAAAATTAATTTGTACAATGGCTTTTGTGAGAATGTATCGATAAGTGCTTTCAATAAATGAACTGTCAATTGTGTAATAGATTGACTGTATAAAAAGATAATAAGAAGCGCATAGCTATGATATGATATAAAATAAGTCCACAAGTTTCAAACTTTCCCAAGTACTATCAAAATTCAGGCAAAAATAGGCTTAGAATGCACGTCGGCTTTAGGAGCAATAAGTAGTACTATATTATAAGAAAAGGGCAAAAAAGGGGAAGGGGGCCTCAAAATTCTTTTTTTTTTTTTTTTGAGACGATAAATCTAATCTATCATATACTAAGGGGAAGGGGGCGGGCCTAAGGAGGTTCAGGGATAAGTCGGAGGGGACTGAACTACCACCGGTTCAAACGGGTGCACAGCACACCCGCCTGGATTTTTTGGAGGCAAGCCACTGAAATGTGGCATTTTTGGTGGGAGGCAAGGGTTCGCCCCACCAAGTAGGTGGTGGTCACTGAGCCAAAGGCCCAATGGTTAAAAAAAAAAAAAGAGGGATATAAAATAATAATATATTCTCAAAAAAGCGCATGCAAGCAAATCCAACTTTTCCTTGCTCTCTCTCTCTCTCTATTTTCTTTGCCCTTTTGCATTATTATAATTATTCTTTTTTTTTTTGATAATTTGCCCTTTTGAATGCGTGTGTTTGGACCATGGGCCGATTTTAACGATGTCTTCTACGTCGTTTGAACTTAGTGGTGCGTGTGTTTCCTCTAACATTTGTGAAAGAAAAAAGAATGCGTGTGTTTGGATGGGTAAGGCGTGCCGGGGGGTGGGGGGGCTGCTAGCCTCCATAACTTGGGCAGGCGCTTATTCTATAATAGCACTTGGGTTTAGTCCACAAACAATTGCTTACTACATTAATTTGTTTTTGGCGCAGATGGAACTACTCAAATTGAAACCGGCCTTGTGAAGTCCGTGTTGGCCGACAACTTTGGTTTTTAGCACCAAAATAGTATGGAATGTTGGTTAGATTGCAAAGGTGCACTCCATTTTTATTTCTTCTTCCTATCCTGTGTAGTATGTTGTTCCCGTTAATCATCTCGTGCTACCGGCAAGCATCAATCCACCACAACACAACCTGATGAAACAATTTTGGTGATGGTGGGTTATTTCTTCTTGAATACACAACTGTTTATTTAGTAATGTTTGCTCCGGATTCTCCCCCAATTTTTTTTTTTTTTTTTGGGATACTAGGAATAAAGACAAACACCTGGATAGATCCGATCTATGTAGATCATGTGATCCAAATTTTATCACGTCATTTTATCAATTCCTCAATAATTGATGATGTGTCAAAATTTAAGCAATATAATCTACACAAATAAGGTCTATCCAAATTTCTGCAATGAATATGCAAATTTATACATTAGAGTTTGGAGTTAGGACACGGCGGGGGAAGTCAAGTGGTCAAGTTGGTTCTGCTAGCCAGAGGCCACTTGGTGAAAATGAAATGAGGAAATGACATTTGGGTGCACCTGTCTAGCCAGCCAGTTGATGATAGCCATAGCCCATAGGCCATATCTAAAACCAGCCATAGGCCCAACTGGGTGCACCTGTCTAGTGTTGCTGTCACACATGGCGCCCATTCATCTTGGAACTTTATGCCCAGTACATGCATCCAATTAAGTTGCCCACAAGTTGCGCTTAGCTCTATCTTTGATTAAAAAAAAAAAAAAAATTCTTATCCATTGCTGCCCGGAAAACATGATGATATGTGTTTTCCAGCCGCCACCGTGGCTCATTTTTTTTTATCTCCTATTTATTGGGTGATAACAATTGACTCATCTTGACTTGCCAAAAAAAGAAAAGGAAAAAGAAAACTGATTTTGACTTTTATTTTATTTTTACCAATTATAGTAATTGTTAAGAGTATTTTGTTAAAGGATAAACTGCTTAGGAGCTCCTAAACTGTTTTAGTCATCAACTATAGACCCTTCATCTATTTAAATCTTAAATTGCCATCTCGCAACAATAAAAATAGTCAAATATTCTTCGTCCAATTTATATCTACCATTTATATTCGTCATCAAATATTATAAGTGCACGAATTTAATGGCAAAAAAGGATTGAAAGATCGAAATTTGATACTTTTTACTCCATCCGTCCTACTTTTATAGTCTCATTTCTTTTTTTTATACAGTTTAAGAAAAAGTAGTTAACTTTGTTGGAAAAGTAAATTTAGATTGCTATTTTTCTAAAACATCCTCACATTAAATATAGTACAACTTTATGGGAACTTGAATTGATGGTAAAAAAAAAAAATCAACCCTCATTAAATGGGGTAGGTTTATAGTAACAACAACTTACATTGAATAAGGGTATTTTAGAAAAATTAAAATACAACTACATTCTTCAATTGGAAAGTGTACTACAATTTGGGACAGACGAAAAAGGAAAACGAGATTATCAAAGTGGGACGGAGGGAGTATTATTGAGGAACTAATTTAAGATTTGAAATAGGTGAGAGGTCAAAAATTAATAACTAAAATAGTTTAAGGACTCTTTTAAGGAGTCTACCATTTCTTATGCTGGTTGCTTTTGCTTTTAAGGAAAAGTTGTTCTACTCTTATGGTTAGACCCTACAAATTACTTGAATCTTCACGATGACACAGCCGCCATCCAATGGCCCAATGCGATAGCTCCTCAGATATTTTCGTTATTCCTATTTCCTCCTCTCCCTCCTCCTCCTCCAGGCATGAATATCTCCCAAACAGAACTTTTGCCAAGAAGTAGAGAAGTAGCCACTGGCCATCAAGTCCATCATAATAATGGCGAGGAGATGATAAATTGATTGATAATAATAATGGTGAGGAGAAATTGCACATCGCATCATTTGTAGGGGAATTGACAAGCTTCATAGTATAGCACTGCATTAAAACCGTTGCACAAGAAGCTTTGGTTTAGACATTCTATCTAACATCTAGTAGGCACAAAAGGCTTTGGTATAAAGTTGCACAAGAAATCAAGATTTCTTTTCTAATCTCAAATTTCTGGTCCTATCCAATCACAATAGCGCCAAGTTTTCAGAAACTTTTATTTTTAACGAGAATGATTTGGAAGCAACGAGGGAAAAGAAACGTGGTGGAATAGGAAGAGAAAAGGAGCTGATTGCTTTTTTTTTTTTGTAAATATTAATCTGCAGATATATATATGTCACGCGAGCACAGTAAAGCGTGTAATACGAGTATTAGATTAGGGTGTAAGACGAGAGTGTGGGTAGCCACAATGGCACCCTTAATTATACCACAACAGTTCCCTTTTGCGCCGTGTTTCCCTATAAATTGAGAGCCCTTTGCTTCCTTCTTTCATCACCATTCACCAAGCAAGCCAATCCATAGAAAGAAAAACACAGAGATACAGTGAAATAGAACTATGGAAGGCTGCTGCTCTTCTAATTCTAATCATTTGGTCGGAATTCTTCTCATTTTCCTCAGCCTCACTCGCTTCTCTACCACCGCCTCAGCTGCCAGAGCTTTGTCTGGAGTCACTACTAACACCGAATTCATCAGAACATCTTGCAGCACGACGACTTATCCTGAGCTCTGCTATGCCTCTCTCTCAGATCAGGCAACTATCATTCGATCCGACCCTGAACTTCTAGCTCACGCCGCTCTCTCCGTCAGCCTTGACACCGCAAAATCAACCTCTTCCATGATGGTAAAGCTGTCCCAAAGTCACGGCATGACACCCCGAGAAGTCGGGGCAATGCGTGATTGTGTGGAGGAATTAGGCGACTCGGTGGATGAGCTGAAAAAATCAATGGGAGAGATGCCGCAGCTCAGAGGCCCCAACTTTGCCCTCACCGTGAATGATATACAAACGTGGGTTAGCGCTGCCCTGACAGATGAGGATACGTGCATGGACGGATTTGCCGGAAAAGTCATGAATGGCAACACCAAAATCGCTGTGAGGAATCAAATAGTAAACGTTGCACACATGACTAGTAACGCCTTGGCTTTGATTAATAGTTATGCTTCCCTCCACAGCTAGCCGATGATGATCAGGCAAGGCCGTCATGGCTTAGCTTAAAATTAGATAATTAATGTCTTAAGTTATTAAGCAAGCAAGTGTACGATGTCGTGTTGTTAGCATGAAAATTGGTAGCATTGAGCAGGAGCGGTAAGAATGCGAAGATGGTGTGATTGCAGTGTATTTGTTTGTGATCAGCTGTGTACATTGTGGTTGATACTGGAGGAATCTTAGTATCTATGACGTTGAAATTATTGCATACATCCTATATACCTGTCAAGTTCAGATGATCTTTTTGTTCACGTCTTATAATTTGATGATGTTTGTAAATTAGATACTGTCAAGAAAGAAAAGAAGTTTTCAAGACTAGCTAGACCAATTTCCACAAACCATAATTAGTAATCAGTACTCATGATGAAAACCGTAATATTTCCTTTTTGGCATTTTATAACGACTCTCTCTATCCCCCATAATAATCAGTACTCAGGAGGAAGAAGTATATTTCCAAAAGATATGGCATTTCTTTTGGAGTGTTTATAAATAAGGATGTTCAGATATTAGGAAAACTCACTTTTTACTTATAGATTTACTGTTCTTCTACTTCTTATCAACAATAATTCTCTGAACCGTTCTTGGAAGAATTTCTTCATGCTACTGTATGAAAATTCTAGTTGGCTTTGTTATTTTTGGAGAGAATTGTCGTAAATCCGGTAGCAAAATAGTAGGGGCAAATTTCCTTGCGAAAAGTGAATAGTCACGCCAAAGCCATTTTCTGTAGTTAGTAGTTGAAAATTTTTTTTCCTAACAAGTTCCTCATCCCATCACCATCTCATGCAAGAAAGGGCCTACCTTAGTCCTGTGATGCTGGACATGTCCGCAATTGATTTCACCTTTTATATTTTTATACAGGAATATGCAAATTTATGAAGATTAGATTGGAACTGATTGTCGATCTCGTGTCAAATTTCTCCTACCTAACTTTAGGATTGGGTTATGCGCTCGAAGCTCAAATTGGAAACTTACATGAAAACCCACCCCATGGGGAGATGTTGCACGGTGAGCATAAAAGGGGACTGACTTTTTATTTATCTTTCTATATTTCTTGAAGAAATAATCCTTTTGCGGTTTGCCCCAAATAAAAACGCTTGTTCGAAGTCTTACGCATAGCTAGAGAGAACTCTATTTATCACAAACAAAAAATAGTTTATCTTCTACGTATTGATTGATAGTATATACACTGTCAGTTTCAGATGCATAATAATTAATTTAAATTTATTCAAGAGAATATTGTAACAAAGGATTTGCCGATTCAGGATGTTATGGAAATGACATACGTGTCTAAGCATCAAGCATTTAGCATACACCGTGACAAAGGATTTCTAAATGTGGCATATTATGGATGGAAAATGATATACATGTCTAATTAAGCATAGAGAATTTAGCACACATTGTGACAAAGAATTTGCCGATCTAGGATATTATGGATGGAAATGATATACATGTCTAATTAAGCATAGAGCATTTAGCTTATTATTCTACCAGCATTTGACATTTTTGCTTTTTGCTTGGCCATAGACAAAAGAAGTGTTTCAGGTAGCTGGAACCCATGAAGTCACCCTAATTACCATCCTCTGCCATCCAAATTTTCTTGATTTCCTTTCATTCTGCCTTAAATTTGCATCATTGAATGCAACTTAGGGCGGCCCCCGGGTTAGCCTTCATGAGTTAGGGAGCCACTTGCTCCGTAAAGGTACTTGGCTACTCCACCGTTAATTAGTACTCCCTCCGTCCCACTTTGATAGCCCTGTTTTCCTTTTTCGTCTGTCCCAAATTGCAGTCCACTTTCCAATTGAAGAATGTAGTTGTATTTTCATTTTCCTAAAATACCCTTATTCAATACAAGTTGTTGTTGTTATAAACCTACCCCATTTAATGAGAGTTGATTCTTTTTTTACCATCAATTCAAGTTCCCATAAAGTTGTACTCTATTTAATGTGAGGGTATTTTAGGAAAATAGCAATCTAAATTTACTTTTCCAACAAAGTTAACTACTTTTTCTTAAACTGTGTGAAAAAAGAAATAGGACTATCAAAGTGGGACGGAGGGAGTATTAATTTGTCTAGTCCATGGCACACGTGAACGTTTTTGGAACTATTCAAATTGGAAGTTTTTTGTGACGTTTCCGTTGGCATACAACGCTCAACTTTAATCAGCACCTCCAGAGGTGGCGCAGGTCAAGGGGTCGAACCCTCTTCAGCATTCGTCAAGAGGTCGAACTCTCTTGACTGTATTCTCAAGATTATTTATTTTCTTTCAAATATTGAAAAAGTCCATCCATCTTTCCTTTCCTCGATACAGAACCAGTTATAATAGTGCTATGCTAAAAAAAACTTTTAGCATAATCCCAAAAAAAAAAAGAAAGAAATGTTATTTAGATTCCAAAGAAGAAATGCACATGTTATCCTTATCCTACTCATGTACTAGTACTACCCCTTTTATTCATCTAACTAGCATCCATCGACTACAACACACACACAAGCTGTTGAGACAATTTTGTGACTAAATATATATCTAAGGTTCGAGTATGTTGGGGGATTCATTTTATTTGATGCTTAACAAATATAGGATTTTTTCCAAAGTTCAAAATTTTTTTTTAAAAAATGTAAGATTTTATCCAGAGAGAGTTTGGACACGAAAATGAAGGCAGGAAGACAGGAAACTCAGCGTCGATCACAGCGACGGGCCAATAGGGTGCACCTTAGAGACATGCAATCATAATCATACGTAGCCCCCAGACATCTCGGAGCCTTCATACCCGGTACATGCATCCAACCCAATTAAGCTAACCACAACCTGCGCCTTTGCCCTACTCTTTCTTGACCAAACATTTATAACTGGTGCCCCGTCGGAGAACATTTTTATTTTATTTTTTTTCCAGCCGCCACTTGACTCGTGTTTCTTTATCTCCAGTTGGGCGCTAACTACTGCCCGTTGACTCATTTTGACGTTTTCACTACTACTTATAGCTATTGCTACTAATAGTAGTATTTTGTAGTACTTAGTAATTTTGATTGATTCCTTTGGTTTTTTTTCCCATTTTTTGAGGAAAATTGTGTGTGTTTTTTTTTGGGGTGTCAAAAGAGGAAAATTGTGTTTGTTGTTGTTGTTGGACCCTGAAAATTATTGATCTCTGTAGGCGTCGGCCACCGACGGCCTGATGCAACAGCTCCCCAGATATTTTCGTTATTCCTCCGGCCGCAAATGTCTCGTACAGTACAGAGTTAACCGAACTGGTCCAACAAGTACTGACATTTGCCCGTCGTCATACCCATGATGATGACATCATGGGAATTTTCTTGTACAATAATAATAATGGCAATGGGCAGTTATACTTATATGTCGCATTACTTGTTTGGTGCAAGGGAAGGGATTATCATTATACATCGCATTGATTCTTGCACAATAATAATGGGTTTGTTTGGATTGTAAGTTATTTGAGATATTTTTACTGTAGCACTTTTTGTGATGTGATGTATGTGAGATAAAAAGGTAATTGGGAAGGTAAAAAGATATGTTGGAAATTGTAATGATGATGTAAGCAAATATATTTGGGAAAATAAAGACCGATCCAAACAAACCCATTGGTAATGCGCAGTTACATATCGCATTACTGTCTGGTGCAAGGGAAGGGGTTTAACACTTTGTTTCAGCTGTAATATTAATCGTTTAAAAAAAAAGGTGTAATATTAATCATACAAGTCATAAGTATATCAAATGTGTGAATTTAGGGTTATTAGATTTGAATTTAGTCCTCTTGGCGGTGCAAAGTAACTTGAGACGCGAATTACCTGCAACAAGTTTTAGACAGGCGACTTCTCTTAATGTAGCTTCTCTTAAACTCATATGGGTGTCTCTTGCACCCGTATGATCTAACGATTGTTTAGTTTCCATCAGTTTTCCGTGATCCTGTTAGATCATCTCCTTGGTATAGGTCAGAATAAGAGTAAGTGTAGATGATGACAATAAATTCAAAAAAAAAAATGAAGTGATCTACACATGCCACTTCTCTCTTTTTTTTTCCCCTTTTAATAGGGGTAAAGAGACAAGCTTCTAGTAACACTTGACTGAACCCCATGCCTGTAAATGTTGGCAATTCAAGCAACTCCCCAGTTACTTGGGGGGGGGGGGCGGCATAAAATATCAAATAAAAAATTCAAAATAGGTTGAGGGCAGGTCCTATTGTCACTTCCCAGAATCCAACAAATTTCATAGGATTCAAGCTTGATTAAACTATGAAGAAATCTGATCTATGCATCTGTACCATAATAGGTGTGGAATGAAGATGCTAATGAGTTTATTAGTGTTGCAGAAGTGTTTGAAAATCAGTCAGAAACTCTTATTCCACACAATGGTTTCATAGGCCAAAGCATTGGACGGAACGTTTTGCGTATAGTGTGGGGCAAGGAGCAAGTCTCGAGGCTTGAATGCTAGCACGTCAAGTTTCTGTTTGAAATTAAAGAAATAAAAAATGATGAATTGCCCACAAGAGGCACTTCGGGGAATAATTGCAAGATCACCACAAATTAAATCACAACCCAACCCACCAAAAATAAAGAACAAAGAAGCGAAAAAACAAGAGAGAATAAACTGAACTCAAAACTGATTTAAAAAAAAAAAAAAAAGGAACAAGATTGACGAATGACTGAAGAGGGCTTAGGCAGAACAAGCTATCCAGCAGCGATTTGTGAAAGAAGAGAGAAAAGGAAGAAGAATTCCAGCCGGCTGTGTTTGTGCATACCAACCTGACGTAAGAGTTTTCTCTGGTTATCAATTTATAACGGTCTTGAAACTGAAAAAAAAAAGGGGGGAGGAGAAGGGGAAGAAGATGATAACCCCTTCAGAGAGGAGGGAAAAATAAATACTTCTCTATTTTTTTTTTGGTAATAAACTTGAGACAGTAGTTTCCTTTTGATGTTGAAAGAGATACTTTAAAAAGGAGGGTAGCACTGTTACCAGCCAGGTACTGGTACATATGTCCACCGCGCGCTCCACTTGGAGACGAACACGTTTAGGACCCGTGATATCAATTGAATCCAGCCCTAAGAATTCCTGTCCTTTTCAGACAACATGGCAATAATTGCTCGTTCTCCTCTAGTCCTTGATGGTTTTTCTATAAATTGATGGCCATGAGTTTCTTGTTTCACCACCAAGCAAGCTTCTCCGTAGCAAGAACAAAGCACGAAAGCTCAAATACGTATTTACAGATAAAAGAACAAAGAGAGAGATGGAA